TTTTGTGAATGTTGCATTTTATCATTGGGATCCTAAAATGAGATTTGTTACTGCCTGTCTTTCCTGAGGTCTCAGGAGGAAACTGGCTCCGCGGTATCTTCAGAAGCCTCCTCACGTGCACAGCTGTCTGGCGTTTAGAACAGCTGGACGGACACCTTCTGCTTCCCGTGCCTGTGTTCTGTGCCCCGCAGGGTCCAGCTTCCTGTAGCCTTCCACGTGACCAACAGCTAGTACAATACATCTGTTTGTGAAAACGTGAGCGTCTCCGTTCCTATGCAAGCAGCTTTGCCCATTAAAGTATGTTTTAGAGAAGAAGAAGCTACCTTTGTCTAAACTGGAGAAGTGATGCAGTCAGTGATTCTGGTTCAAGTCAGGCCTCTTGGGTCTAAATCACTGAATGACTTTTAGGATGGTAATTGTGTCTGCTAGGAATTGTGTTCACCCACAAGTAACAGAAACCCAACCACAGGGGCTTATATAAGTAGGAATTTATTTTTGCCTCAATAGCAAGAAGTCTGAGGGCCATTTAGGGTTCAGATGATCATCATGGATGTTTCTAGCTTCTTTCTCTGTCATCGTTAGCTTGTGGCTCTCATCTAAGGAGAGAGGAGGTGGGGGGGAGAGCAAAAAGATTATTGAATGTCCTTTTATCAGTCTTAAAAATAATAGCTCCCCCAGAAGTCCCACCCAGTAGAATTCAACCCACATGCCCTGGCCACATGACATCCTTAGCTGCATTTAAGGGTAACTATTTCAACTGGGCACATTGTTACCTTGGACAGAATTGGGGTTCAGATGACAAGCAAGAGGCTCAGGGGAGAGGCGATGAGCAGCATCTGCCCCAAGGAGCCACATGCCGTCTTTCAAATCCAGTTTTAGGTGATCCTGGAGGGCCTTCTGAATATCACTGGGGTTGGGTTTCTGTGATGGAATGGAGTGGACTGGCTTGTGTTGTGTTTCTGAGAGGAGGTGACCTGCTTCTTGGCCTTTCACTATAAAGCATCTTTGACTTACGCCGTGTTGATTACAGACAGCAGAAAGGACCACTCCTCCCAAACCTCTTTGACTTCTCAATGTCAAAAAGCCAGTGGGCCCCGAGGGAAGCCACAGACAGGAATCCCTCGGAGCTGGATCATCCGGCCCCTCACGTGGGCCACTTGCTGTTTCTTTTATGCTCTTAAGAATTGAGGTTTTTATTCTCAGGACTTCTCCCTTGGACTTTGAACCTGTTCTCTACCGTTCCTGTTTTAGCGGCTCACTGACTTCACCCTGTCTACTTAATTCCAGCTCTCAGTTAAAGTGTATGCCCAAGCTTCCCTCCTAGGAAAGAGGCTTGGGGATGAAAATGAGGTGCATCTGACTTTAAGAGCCAGGGTCTCTGCACACACACTTGTGTACCTGGAAAACTCTGGATGGTCCCTTTGTCACATCCTTGGTTTCACTTCCTATTCCAGGACCTTAGAACCGAGCTTCAGACTAGTGCAATGTGAGCAAGTTAAAGAACATGAATCCCTTCTGCCTTCAGGGTGGGGCCGAGCCCGGGGCAGCCAGAGCACTTGTCAGGTTACGTGGTCACTGTCTCCTTCATGTACCCCAGTGTGTCCTACAGATATCACCACTTTCTCAGTGCCCTGAGGTCAGAGAGCTTAGACAGGATGCTGCTTTTAGGCCTGTTCTTTGGATCTGTCCTTTCTATCCTTCTTCCTCTTTCCTTCTCTTATGTGGTGTCAAGGTAACCCACTGCTGACCGTTGGGAACAATTATCTTAGCCAACGCGCTGACTCGCTTGGTATTTCCTGAACACTGTCCATGGCAAACCTGTGCTGTGTCTTGACTCAGTTTCCTAGATTAATATCCCCTCTCTTAACCCCATCTTGATTCTCTTATATTCTATCAGCTTAGCTCTTCGTCTTTTTTTTTTTTATAAAGGATTTTATAGACAGGAGCTCACCCACTCTCTTTTTATGTGTCATCTCATTGCTGGTTGATGAACAATCATACTCTTTATTCTTTGCAGTTTTGTCTTTTGGCAGTTTAGTGACCAACCTGGCTAAGCCCAGACATGCCATTTTCTTTCTACCTGCCCACTCTCCTCTCTAGTTCTCCTTGTAAATGCAAGTCATTAAGTAACTCATTAACAATCAGTTCAGTTCAGTCACTCAGTCGTGTCCTACTCTTTGTGACCCCATGGACTGAAGCATGCCAGGCTTCTCTGCCATCACCAAGTCCTGGAGCTTTCTCAAACTCATGTCCATCGAGTCGGTGAATGCTATCCAACCATCTCATCCTTTGTTGTCCCCTTCTCCTCCTGCTTTCAATCTTTCCCAGCATTAGGGTCCTTTCCAATGAGTCAGCTCTTCACATCAGGTGGCCAAAGTATTGGAATTTCAGCTTCAGCATCAGTCCTTCCAATGAATATTCAATGGATCTCCTTGCTGTCCAAGGGACTCTCAGGAGTCTTCTCCAACATCACAGTTCAAAAGCATCAATTCTTGGGCACTCAGCTTTCTTTATAGTCCAACTCTCATCCATACATGACTACTGGAAAAACCATAGCTTTGACCAGATGCACCTTTGTTGGCAAAGTAATGTCTCTGCTTTTTAATATGCTGTCTAGGTTGGTCATAGCTTTTCTTCCAAGGAACAAGTGTCTTTTAATTTCATGACTGCAGTCACCATTTCCAGTGATTTTGGAACCCAAGAAAATAAAGTCTCTCACTGTTTCCATTGTTTCCCCATCTATTTGCCATGAAGTGATGGGAACAGATGCCATGATCTTAGTTTTCTAAATGTTGAGTTTTAAACCGGCTTTTTCACTCTCCTCTTTCACTTTCATCAAGAGGCTCTTTAGTTCTTCTTCACTTTCTGCCATAAGGGTGGTGTCGTCTGCATATCTGAGGTTACTGATATTTCCCCCGGCAATCTTGATTCCAGCTTGTTCCTCATCCAGCCTGGCATATCACATGATGTACTCTGCATATAAGTTAAATAAGCAGGGTGACAATACACAGCCTTGACATACCCCTTTTCCTGATTTGGAACCAGTCTGTTGTTCCATGTCCAGTTCTAACTGTTGCTTCTTGACCTGCATACAGATTTCTCAGGAGGCAGGTCAGGTGGTCTGGTATTCCCATCTCTTGAAGAATTTTCCACAGTTTGTTCTGATCCTCACAGTCACAGGCTTTGGCATAGTCAATAAAGCAAAAGTAGATATTTTTCTGGAACTCTCTTGCTTTTTTGATGGTCCAGTGGATGTTGCCAATTTGATCTGTGGTTCCTCTGCTTTTTCTAAATCCAGCTTGAATATCTGGAAGTTCAGGGTTCACATACTGTTGAAGCCTGGCTTGGAGGATTTTGAGCATTCCTTTGCTAGCGTGTGAGATGAGTGCAGTTGTGCGGTAGTTTGAACATTCTTTGGCCTCGCATTTCTTTGGGATTGGAATGAAAACTGACCTTTTCCAGTCTTGTGGCCACTGCTGAATTTTCCAAATTTGCTGGCATGTTGACTGCAGCACTTTCACAGCATCATCTTTGAAGATTTGAAATAACTCAACTGAAATTTCATCACCTGCACTAGCTTTGCTCGTAGTGATGCTTCCTAAGGCCCATTTGACTTTGCATTCCCAGATGCCTGGCTGTAGGTCAGTGATCACACCATCGTGATTATCTGGGTCATGAGGATCCTCTTTGTACAGTTCTGTGTATTCTTGCCACCTCTTTTTAACATCTTCTGCTTCTGTTAGGTCCATACCATCTCTGTCCTTTATTGTGCCCATCTTGCATGGAATGTTCCGTTGGTATCTCTAATTTTCTTGAAGAGATCTCTAATCTTTACCATTCTATTGTTTTCCTCTGTTTATTTGCATTGATCCCTGAGGAAGGTTTTCTTATCTCTCGTTGCTATTCTTTGGAATTGCATTCACATGGGTATATCTTTCCTTTTCTTCTTTGCCTTTAGCTTCTCTTATTTTCTCAGGTCTTTGTAAGGCCTCCTCAGACAACCATTTTGCTTTTTTCCATTTCTTTTTCTTGGGAATGGTCTTGATCAGTGTCTCCTGTACAGTGTCATGAACCTCCATCCATAGTTCTTCAGGCGCTCTGTCGGAACTAATCCCTTGAATCTGTTAGTAATTTCCACTGTCAAATTGTAAGGGATTTGATTTAGGTCATACCTGAATGGTCTAGTGGTTTTCCCTACTTTCTTCAATTTAAGTTTGAATTTGGCAATAAGGAGTTCATGATCTGAGCCACAGTCAGCTCCCGGACTTGTTTTTGCTGACTGTATAGAGCTTCTCTATCTTTGCCTGCAAAAGATATAATCAATCTGATTTTGGTATTGACCATCTGGTAATGTCAATGTGTAGAGTCTTCTCTTGTGTTATTGGAAGAGGGTGTTTGTTAAGACCAGTGCCTTCTCTTGGCAAAACTCTGTTAGCCTTTGCTCTGCTTCATTCTGTACTCCAAGGCCAGATTTGCCTGTTACTCCAGGTATCTCTTGACTTCCTACTTTTGCATTCCAGTCCCCTGTAAGGCACTGCTGACCCGTAACTCCACAGGAGACACTCAGACCCTCAAAGGCAGGTCTGGCTTAGTCTCTGTGGAGTCTCCTGGTATGCACAAGATTTTAGTTTGAGCTCTCTGAGCATTTCTGTTGGGTATGGGGTTTGATTCTAAATGCAGTTTCACCCCTCCTACCATTTTGCTTGGGCTTCTCCTTTGCCCTTGGATGTGGGTATATTTTTTTGTTGGGATCCAACATTGTCCTGTTGATGATTGTTTAGCAGTGAGTTGTAATTTTGGAGTTCTCACAGGAGAAGATGAGCTCATGTCCTTGTACTCTGCCATTTTAAATAACCAACTGTCATTAACAATAATGTTCATTAATATTTCCCTCTTTATTTTTTTCCATTTATTTTAGAACTCATACTATGGCTTTGAGCTAAGGAAAGACAATAAAGTTATAATTATAAACTTAAAAAGTGTTTATTTGGTTTTTCCAGATGAGAATTCTCCAGCCAACTTCTGGGATTCTAAAAACAGGGGTGTGACTGGAACACAAAAAGGACAAATTGTATGGAGAATTGAGCCTGGGCCCTATTTCATGGAACGTAAGTACCTAAGTGTCAACCTAAGTTTATATTTGAACATTGTAGAAATATGCAAAAATCTATGAAGTCTTTTATGAATTTTATTGTAAAAGATTTTGATTCTTATTTATAAATGTATGCCATGTCACCCTAAACTGTAAAATATAATCGTTTGGGAAATATTCGTTAGAGAATGTTAGTATGGTTTGAAAAAAGTGTATGTATGTCTCTAGGTGTGTGTGTATAACATATATCTGATGAATGTATGGTATATAAATTCTGTGGTTATTTTAATATATTACATATTTTATATACCCTTGTTCTTAATTTATAATTAATACTGTATTAATTTCAAAGGGCAGAAAGAATAGTTCAAGATTTCAGTTAATTTAAGCATTTTTTGCTTCTGGGACACTTCACTATTATTTTTCCCAGCAGAAGAATACGTTTTGCTTTTGGGTCTTGGTCTCTCCAAGCGTAGATGACATAATCTGGGGCACTTTACCATAGAGATCATTTACTACGGATCAGAGATTGGCTGCAAATAACCATCACCCAGTTGATTTGATGTTATATTTATTTATAAACACACATGCCTATGCAGTACTTCTATATAGCTTTTTATATACATATATATGTATACACACACATGTATACATATAAATGATTTACTGGTCTGTCCAGGTTAGCTTCTAGATTTACAGAATTTATTTTTCTGCAATATAGAAAAAACTGAGCTCTTTAAAATGTGTCTGAACTGTTTAACTCCATAGTAAGAATCAAGTTTTCTGTATGCAAGGAATTTAGTATAAGAAAGAGAGAGAATATACTGGTACCAGAGATACTGATACTTAAGAATGGTAGCTCAGTTCAGTTAAGTCACTCAGTCATGTCTGACTCTGTGACCCCATGGACTGCAGCACGCCAGGCTTCCCTGTCCATCACCAATTCCCAGAGCTTACCCACACTCATGTCCATAGAGTCAGTGATGCCATCCAACCATCCCATCCTCTGTCATCCCCTTCTCCTCCTGCCTTCAATCTTTCCCAGCATCAGGGTCTTTTGAAATAAGTCAGTTCTTTGCATCAGGTGGCCAAAGTATTGGATTTTCAGCTTCAGCATCAGTCCTTTCAATGATTATTCAGGACTGATTTCCTTTAGGATGGACTAGTTGGATCTCAGTTTGATTAAAAATGGAAACCTGCTGTAAGCATACCTTTTTTGAAGCATGTAAAACTTCTCTAATATAAAAAGTCATTTAAAATATTAGCAGCTATTATTTTTGAATTGCCGTTAAAGACATCAGATAATTTGACCATTTTCCTGGCAGGGTAGCCTTTCGTAGCTTTCTCTAATCCTACTTGTGCCCTGTAAGGAGTGTCTTTTTTTTCAGAGTTCAATTTCTGGTTTGTCTTTAAACCTTACGTGTAATGTTGTTAAGAGAAAATGCTCATCATGTAACAGTAAGTGAGGGGAGCGGGAAGCAGATATATAAAGCATTAGTTCAGTTGCTCAGTCGTGTCCTACTCTTTGCAACTCCATGGACTGCAGCACGCCAGGCTTCCTTGTCCATCACCAGCTCCCGGAGCCTACTCAAACTCATGTCCATTGCATTGGTGATGCCATCCAACCATCTCATCCTCTCCTAGCTAATACACATGTACGAAAAAGTCTTGGAGATTCACCAAAATGTGAACAACGGTTGTATCCGGGAGGTGAGATTAGGGGCGATTTGTTTTTATTGCCTGTTTCTCATCTTTACTTTCCGACACTGGTCTAACTGCTGTGTCTAAGTAATGAGAAGCATAAGTGACAAAAGAACCTGGTAAAAAATGGAATGGGAAGTAGTTGGGTTTACTTTCAATGTGATTACTCCTTTGAAAAGATCCCTGGGTTTAAGAGGTTGATCCAGCTGAGAAATATTGCCAGTTGAACTTCAGGTAAAACCTTCCTGTTTGCTCTAAACTGCTGAAGACTTCTAGGAATGATTGCCTTTTGATGGAGTGTGCAGATTCATGTTATGGGGCTCAGTGAACACCTGGGTGAGGTCAGTACCACATGCTGCTGTAATTTGGAACATTATGAATTTTAAAAAACCCATTTACAGAGTATCCCACTTGCCATGATTGATTTTCTTTCTTTCTCCATGAAGTGTGAATTAAAGATTTGTAATGTCCTGGCTGATTAGAATATAGTGAGCATCTCTGTCTTGACAAATATATTTCTTTACATCTCACTGTTAATGTTTAGCAGAAGTGGGCTTGAAGTTGAAGTTAGGAATTGGGAATGCTTTTGGTTTTCTCATCTACTTTAGCATTTCCACCTTAATTCTTCACACAGTGAGGGTATTGTGCAGCATGATTGTGAAACTGGAAATATTCAGTAATACCTTTTTAAGGACTGAGTAAAGCTGTATAAGTTAAAGTGAAAGTGAATAGGAAGTACAGAAAGATTTGGCTTTAGAATAAACTTATCTTCATTCATCAGAATGGGGTCTCCCCAGGACACGTTTCTATCCCTTTGAAATCCATTCAGTGTAAAAACCTCAGGTGGTATTTATATCAGTGCTTAGAAGTGTAGTCGGTGTCTTTTAGACATCATTTTTTTTTTTTTAATTCCATGTCTGGCTAGAGCAGATCTAAGGGGACTTCCCAGCATAATGAAGTTTTTTGCTTGATTCTGGAGATAATGGTGTGAAACCTAAAAAAAACTGGGATTGGGGAATGGGTTAACCACATCTACGTTTTCAGCCTCTGATCTTGAAAATTTATGACGTTAAAAACTTTTGCTTTCATCTTCAGAAAGAACATTTATCTTTAGCTAATCAGAAGTCCAAGTAAAGTAAAATTCTCTGAAAATTGACTTAAGTTTGTGGGCAAACCTGGATTTGAGCACTATTTAGGCTGTTTCTGAAAGTAAAGATGGCTTTTGTTTATCTGGATAAACCTCCAGAGGAGGCAGGTGACCCAGACTTATATTACAGGGCCCACTGGGATGAATTTGAAGGACAAAGACAGGTTTAATTTTAGGTAAATGCCCTTCCTAGACGTTGGAGAGGAGGATCAGCTTCATGTGCACTCACTTGTCACAAGACTGTCAAAATTCCTCAAATGAGGTTATGCTCATGGAAAATTAATGGATCATCTGTGCAATGTATATTCTTGAGTTTTGACATCTAAGAGGTTTCAAAAATTGTCTTGGCATGTTAGAACATCTATTTTATTCTATGTAGTCTTTCATAGACTTTGGTCATTTATTCATTCAGACCTGCTTTTTGTCCTTCCTTCATCCCTTCCATTTATTTGTTCATGTTTGTCCCCAGCCATCATGAAGTATTTGATTAAGTCCAACCTTGTGCCAGGCACCATTCAAAAACTCACTAAATCCTGGATCAGTATGAGTTTAGAAACCACAGCTTCATTGCTGTGTACTGAACTGAACTGCTTTGTGATCCTTAATGGTGATAACAGAACATTGCTATTTGTGTAAGTTACCTAGTGTTTTCACATATCTTATCTGTCTCAGCCCTGGGAAGTAGATAGGATTAGGAAGCTGTGCATTATGGGTGCATGTGGCTTCTGTAAGTGACAGCCTCACCTCTGATTGGCACTCAAGTTTGAAACAGAACCTTTGTGGGTGACTTTTTAATGGGTGGGGGGAAAAGGGAGGTGTCAGAGCCCCTGCTCCAGCTTTCCCCATTGCTCAGCCCTTTTCAGCCACCATCAGAAGGGCCTTTCTGCCCCTTGGAGAGACTTGGCTCTTTTCACACTCTATGAGCATGCTTTATGTTTTGGGTCCAGTGACTCCTCTAGTCCTGTTAGGATGGGCCACATTTCACTGATGCAGTCTGTCTTTGATATTCAAGATTGTTTTTCTGAGCTTAAGCAGAGGAGGCCCTGGTTCTTTCAGGCTGCATGCTGTTGCTCAGTCACTAAGTCCAGTCTGACTGTTTTGTGACCCCATGGACTGTAACCTGCCAGGCTCCTCTGTCCACAGGATTTCCCAGGCAGGAGTAGTGGAGTGGGTTTTCATTTCCTTCTCCAGGACATCTTCCACACCTAGAACTCTACTGCTGAGCCACAAGGGAAGCCTTCTGGCTGCATTTGCTCTCATTAAAGATGATGCAGTAACATATAACCAAGTGAGCATGTCACTGGAACTAAGGGTGAATTTCATCAAAAGCATGAGAATTGGAATGTGTTTACTCTTTTTCAACTTGTGACCTCTGAATAAAAGAGCCTATCAATAGGAATCATAATATTAAGAATTTATTAAAAGCACAAAGGCAGTGGTTAAAATTTTTTTCTAATTTATTGCAATTAGCTTGATTTTTAAAAATTATTCTATTTTAATGAGATAGAAATGGCTAAATGAAGGACATTTATGGTTCAAAACAGTCAGCTTCTAAAACTTGAGAGAAATCAGGTTTTCTATTTTTTTTCCCCAGGTTTTCTAAAAAGGAGCAAGCTATTAATTACTGCCTAAGGGAATCTTGAAGATATTTAATGTGGTAGGTGATGTTTCAAAGATCCTAGTCTTTGAAGCAAAATCATTTCTTGCAGAAAGTGGCCTGTAGAACCTTTTTTTCAAAGAGAGCTTGAAATGGAATCTTATACTAATGCCTAGAGTTAATGTAGCTGAGTTGAGATTTCTTTTGAAAATAAATTTTGAACAGATAACAGATGAAAAGAGTATAGATACAAAAAATGAAAGTAATAGCTCCCCAACTTCATGCCCCAGTCACCAATTTCCCCTTCCCAAAGACAACCACTTTTACCAGTTTTATCTGATCTTTCTAAAAATGCTTCATTTATATATAAACTCAAGAGTATATTCTTTCTTTAAACAAATGGTAGAATGATTGCTTTAAAATGCAATGTCATCATGACACGATTACAGAAACTCCTTTACTTGGGAACAGGTTTAAGTTCTTTCTACTTTCCCAGTCACTCCCAACAAGTACATAGTGTTGTGTTTGGACAGTGATCACCCTTCCATCTGTGGTGGACATGGAGTTGAGA